TCCTCGCACTATGCGTGGCGCGAGGAATCCGGTTCATGGTGGAGAACCCGGATAGAAGTGCCATTGGGTTTTTCCCATACCTGGCCCATATCATGTCATTCCCTGACTTGAAGCCGGAAAGGGTGTTTTGGTGGGGGCCCCAAAATTTGTATTTGCAGAAAAAACATGTCAGACATGTTCGATTGATTTCGATTGCATGTACGATGTGTTGACTTCATTGCTCGAAGGGATCCAAATCTACAAGCTTCTCTTGCCTATCATCGGATTTTGTGGGACCCTATACTGGCCAATATTTGGATCCTTTGGGGAAAGTAATTGTTGTGGCCTGTGTGCAATCTCCGGCCCAGGTGGATGGGAACATATGGGGGATGGAGCCAGAAGCCCCAGTTGGGTGCTGGAAATTGGTGCCTTGTTCTGCATCTTCAAATCGATATCAATTATTATAGAACGATGACATTGCTGCTGGAACATTTGGCAACATTCCTTTTATCAACTAAGTTGCTGGATGCCCTTCTTATACCGTCCCATGGACAAGATGATCCGCTATGTGATTCAGCAACGGGGCAAGTATCAGAAACGCGAGATGACCAAAAAGACTATACAAAAGACGACGCAAAAAAGCCAGGTGTTTCTTGGCTTAAGGGGAATGTGGCACCACCTACTCACAATAGAGTTGACAGATATGTTTATTTAAATGGGTGTGTTGTTGGCTTGTTGGACCAACTTACTGCAATGGTGAGCCAACTATTATGGTTGGATTTCTGAGGACGGGAAGTCGAGATTTGGCAAACAGTGCCGCATATCCACCTGCTTTTGGACGTGAAGTAGCGAAACTTCACAGTGAGTCAATGGCCCTTTGGATGCAGCTAGGTGTACTGCAGAATAATGACCATGTGGTTTGTGAAGCAATCCAGTTTGTCACAATACCAAACATGGATCGTTCATGCTATTTCTTTGACAAAAATGCAATATGATTTCAACTAGTGAAAATCGAATGATACTATTTTGAATTCATTATGCATATAAACATATATATTTCCCCTAAGGCCCTAAGGAATTTCCGGGAATTGGATGCAAATTTGTTTCAACTGCATTGAAGCTATCCCCAATGTTCATTTCCGACACTTTCTATTTCAAACTTATGTGCACCATATTTCTCAAAACAAACTAACATGATCCTGAGTTAGTAAATTGTGATTCCACAAGTTCCTCAGCAATGATGAGTTTGCCTTGCTACTCAGGCCGCTGGTGACCCACTCCCTGATCTCGCTGCTATCATCGATGGTGGATTCAAGGACTCCATAGCATGTTTTTTCTCGGCTTGCTTACAGTCACCAGGGTTTTGCTAAAACTGTTAGCATGTGTTTGGGGTAATCCCTGCTGTGGTGTTGAATGAACACCTACCCCACCACCGGCACCCTTGTTGCCAGGAATTGCCTGCTGGATGTGATTGGAGCCATGCAAACCTGGAGGGTCTCGCAGCAAAGCTGCGGGTCGTGACGCTGGCAGGAATGTTTACACCCACCGATTTGGGGGTTCCCTTTTCTACTAAGCCGTGTAGAACCACGGCTGAAATGTATCGTGCCAAATGGGCAAATAGCAGGTAAATTTGGGTTGGAAAACATAAATTCACCCTTCAAAGATATATCGCTTCTGTTCCAGCTTGGGGGCGTAACAGGTATTAATACTAAATATGCATTTGAAAAAAAAACTAAATGGCCATCCCAAAGACCCTGCGTGCCATGGGACAAATTTACGATGTGTTTTGCTGTGTGGGTTTCACATGGTGGAACACTTACTTTCGAATCCTGAAATTAGGAATTTGTGTCTCGGGTTTGTGAATCTTAGCCGACCATTGGCACCTGTCTGAAAGACTGCCGGCGCTTTTGTATTTCTACCAGAGTAAGAACCATGGCAAATTTGAATTCAAGCCAGCTGCATCGCATGTCATACAGATCATACAGCTAGCCCAGCTAGCCTTTGGAAACTCACAGCTCACCAGTTGCATGTGCAAGGTGCTGATATGAACATCCCAAAAGATTTGAGGTCTCATGGGAATACCGGTAAGTTGGTTGTAGCCCCCAATGGTTTTAATTATATTTCATTCGAATTGATCTTCATGCCTTCTTTGACACATATTTGGTACAGCATTTTTGGGATGAATTTGCTCCATATGGTATATTTGGAACCAAACACCACCTACAGAATATGAATTCCGTGTGTCCTGCAGGTTCAAAAGCTCCCAGAGGCCAAATTCCACAAAATAGAGTGAAACAAACAGCACGAATGTCATTTTGAGCAAAACTATGAAAAATACAAAAAAATATGGCGCGTTATTCTCGCGTTATTTAGCGTTATAAGTCCGTTATGAGACAAAGTTACGCGTTATTCTCGCGTTATTTAGCGTTATTTAGATTTTTGCTTTTTGGGGCCTAGGGATTCCGTAGTCCACTGTCTGGTACCCATTGGCCTGTCATGGTCGCCATGTCGAAAGCTGTACCTACTGCGGCCAAGAGCAAGTCGGCTGCTCCATATGTCTTGGGCTTATCATATCACAGCTAGACAACCCCAATGAGAGTGGCAACATGTTGGAACTTTAGCTTGATATTGTTTTTCTGGGTTGTTGATTCTTTTACAGGACCGCAGTGGCTCTGCTTCTTCCGTGGATAGCTTCAATGTGAATGATGAGCTGGCCCGATTTGAGGATCGCTTGGGAATGAAAATTCCAACTGTGAGTTCCTTATCTCTACATAAACCTGATTGTAAACCCGAAATGTATGTATTGGATTGGTATGGCATGGTTGATCAGCTCTCTTTTGTCATGATTTCAGGTTCAGTGAAGCCTGTTGCAACCCCATCGAGAGCTGGTGGGGTGGTGCCTCCTGTGGGGACAAGGAAAATTGCTTCGAATGAACCTAGCAGCATGCCCAAACAAGCAGCTTGCAAAGTGATTCCCACGGCATCAGCCAAGTCGACCCCCATCAAATCACCTGACCATAAGAAACCTCGATGTTTGAAAACGGAACCTGCTTCTATTGCCCGGAATCTTGATGGGGAACTTAGAGCAGCTTCAAAAGTGGAGCCTTCTTGTTCACCAGCTACTTTGATGGACCCACCAACGGTGACAACTGATGGAGCTGGTGATCACGGTGAACAACCACCTGTTGCAGTTACTTGGATACATAAGTATATGACAAAAATATGACACATTGTAGTGCCCCATGATGTTCTCACCCTCCATTTTGCGTTGACCCAGGACAATGGGGATGCACCATGCCCTGAGACCCAGCGTGCCTATGGGTATGGATGGACAGATGAGCGTCACTTGCCCAAAGGAGCTTCCTGCAGCCAGGATTGTGAAGCTCACTGGAACCAGATTTGAATGGTTGGTCATGGGATTGCAGTACAGCAGTAAAGGACCACATGTAAAGATTTTCAGTGTCAACTAAATAACGTTAAAACATCGACCGGTAATATTTGATTCTGTGGGCAAACTAAGGACAACCAATGCGATCAACCAGTGATGTCACTCATGGGTGTAAGGCTACTGATGGTGCCAAGCAACACCCTCGTCGGATCCAAACCATGACAACTATGCCCCTTGGTGCAGTTGATGAGAGTGATGTTGATGCTGCTCTGGCGGAGTCCTATGACAAACCCCTGTGGAAAGCCCTCTTTCTTGACACACCTGATGATGGACATGATGACCCAGAACACTTCAGGGTTCCAACAGGACATTGGCTAGACCGTAGACATGATCTCCGTGACATCTCAACTGTAGACCCTTCCATGGAGGAATGCTACTCCAAGTTCTATGACCTCAAAATGCAACTCTCCCAGGCTGAACACAAGGTGATGGACAAGGAAACCGAGATGAAAATCAATGTGAACAAGTTAGATGTTGCTGTTGAGACTATGTTAGCCCGTCAGCGGTCCCTCATGGCATCTTCTGGGAATGAATGCCCTGATGACACACCCTTGTTCAAAGTTCACAAACAGAACATTGAAGCCTGGCGAAAGAACAAGATTGATGTCGTCAACCAAGCCTTTGGGATTCTTTTGAATGAACGTGACCGGCTACAACGTTGTCTCAGTGATGCTGTGCTGCGGATGATTGAAGAGTCCTACATGGTGTATCTCAACAGTGTAGCTCCACATCAATCGGCTGAAATTCCAGACCTTGGGTTGATGAAAGAGTTAGAACAATGGATGCATCACGGTGGTGTTTCCCAGGCCTGCCAAACAACCTGATGATAGCACTAGCATATTATATGGCATATATACTAGTAAACATCAATATATATATATATATTATATAGAATTAATATATATATATATATATGCGATATTATTCTATATTGAAATATATGCATAACATATACTGTCCTTAGTTTTGCCCCCCAATCCAGACTACATGCTATATTGTTATTTCCAGGCCTCTGATGGAGATGCTTCGCAGCCACCTGGCCTGACAATGCCGAGTGACCAAATGATGAGAGACCACCAGGAAGTCACCAGCTTCGGATGTGTGGAGGTTGACGGGTGATGTTCAAAATTTCAAACAATTTGTTTCAACCCTTCTTTTTTTGGGGCACCAAGCTAAGCCATAATTTTGCTGAATCCCCCTGGAAGGTTCCTGCACCTAAGACTTCAGTCTTGGGGATTCCTAATCCTCCCACAGCTCCTACACCAAAGGGTTCACCTACGGCACCAGTTCCTACAACGGAAGTCTTGGATGCTCATGTGTCGATTTTGCGACGAAAGGATACAACCCAGTTGGAAGCTGGTCATTCACAACAAGTGCCTTTGTTCCAACATATATTTCTAGTGAATGGATCTCCCAAACATGTGTTTTTGGGGTTAGGTCAGCCTAGGCATTGTATCTAGCTCAGGATGCCAGTGCTGTGGAGCTTGGGGAAGAGGAGCGCTTCCCCACAGGACCAAATGGACGGCTGGAAACTCGTGCTGAGTATGAACATCGACTTGCCATCAACTGCAAGATGAGATTCCATCGGTCACTGCAGAGTAGCTTGCATGATCAAATATTAAATGTGATACGGTGTGTATGTTAACTATGTTTTAGAACTTTTGGGGACACATATTTGATCATGAGGCAAGGTTTGTCCAGATGCCGTGCTGGAGAAGGCGAAGGGGAAACGTTACAGTACCTCGGTATATGATTTAGTTTGTGTGTGTGAACGTAGCGTCATGCATATTCATGTGAACAAAGTAGAGTGTTTCCCATCACACTTCATGTGAACAAAGTAGAGTGTTTCCCATCACACTGAGATCAAAAATTGATTGGCAAACTTTTCGAACAATGGCTCAGTGCCAAAGAAGACTGGATGCAGAGCAGCATTGTGGCGAACCAATCGAAAACCATGTCCCAGAAAAAACGTGGTAGGTACTGCATGCTTGAAGTCAAGACCTTGAGAAGTCGATTTGGGGCCGGCATAGCAAAACAGTTGAGGGAGGAAAAGAAAGCCTTGGAAGAAGGGAAGAGTGCAGATGACCCGATAATATACTGGATGCAACACCCGGACATCAAAAGTGAGGCAAGGTAACATGTGGATGACCAAACTGTTTTAAAATATGTACCAACCATGCAACCCTAATTTCAACAACCTGCTGCCCATAGAGCTTCGCAGGACTATGAGTTGGTGCGTATCTTCGACTCCATGGTGTTTGAAGATGAGACCAATGAAGAGATGTCTATGGCTGTCACAGCCCGGGGGGATCTCAATAGCCAACAATCCAGGGAAGTTCTGCCACTAGACTTTAATAAGAAAAAAACATGTTTCAAGTTTACGATTCAGATTCGACTCATAATATTATTAAGACCTATGCATGCCCCCAGGTCAGCTGCAATGGGACCCTACATGACCCAGTTCCAGAATGCTGGCGTGGGCCTTGCAAGTGCTCCAGCTGGCAACGGTGACCACCAGCCACCTCCGCCGAAGGAGAAGAAAAAGCCACCACTTGCCAGACAGATTGCAACCAAGATTTCTGCTGGCTCTGCCAGGTTAACGGAGGTGATGGCATGGAGAGCCAAAGTCCAAGATTGTACTACCATGTCATCCAGCTGAAATTGAAAATTGTTAGATAGGGAACCTTTGAACATTTGACTGGTTGTTTCTTGAACTGCAACCATCTCAGGTCTTCAAATTTGCTGAATGGGTTTTTGGCCGAGCTCGATTCCCGGAAGACATCCATAGAAAATACTAAGTCGAATTTGGAGACCATCTATGCTAAGACGCTGGGTAAGCCCGAGAAAGAGATCATGGACAACCAGGCACTGCTGGAAGACATCCAGAAAAACATTGCCGCTGTTGATGCCAGCTTCACAAGCTTCAATGGAACTGTCAAGAGCATCAAACAATCCATTGACACACAGCTAAATTGGAATGGAATGATATATACCTACTATATATATTATTATATATATATATATAAGAGAGAGGGAGAGAGAAAGAGAGAGAGAGAGAGATGATATGCATACAGCAGCATATAACATATGGGGAACTTTGCCATCCCGATCTTTGCCATGATTCCCGTCTGAGGAACCTCCAAAGGCGAAGTCTGCGGCCAAGGCGAAAGCTGTTCCGAAGGCTCCTGAGACTTGAAAGTGAGCTGCGCTGCTAGCTGGATGTGGGGTCAAGGGAAAAACTATTTTAGACCCCTTTACTTAGCCTTCACCACAATTATACCTGGTCCCTATCAAATATGATAAAATGTATTTCATTCTTGGGGATTGGCCCTGCTCCTGCGTGCAAACATTTTGGGCCTCATCCGGCCAAAAAGGATGTTTTGGAAAATTTGAACGAAGCTCCATTAGCCAGTATGCCATGAACTCAAGGCAATTGATTGGAGCCCAAAGTTCGGAGTTGAAACCTGATGCCTGGGTCAAACCGATGGCCGGGACTTAATCCATGTGCTTTAGAGACCCTTTCTACCAGCTGCTGTGCCGTGAGCCATGACGACAACTAATTTCAATACTCACTCATTGCCTAGATGACAAGTGCAATGTTGTTGATGCCATTGTCCACCAGCCTCTGATCATGTGATCATATCAAACTGACTTCACATGTAGTTGTCGACGACGCTCAAGCTCCGGTGTATGTCACCTCGAGAGCCTTTGAAAGCAGATTCCGGTGCACCGAATTCTTGATCGCAATTCCATGTCAGTTTATCTCGTATGTTGTCAACTGCCTCCTGGTCCAACGCATCGTGGATCGCAATCTCCAGATTTTACATCAGCTAGCTGGCTTTTGTTGTCTCTGCTGGACTTGGGGAGTGACAAACGTCAAGAGTTTTTTGGGTTTTCAGCATGTTGAAGTTCCAGCATGTTCTAACCCAAGTAAACGCATTATATGGTACTGGTGTTTTATGGTTCCATGTTATCCAAATCAAGAGTTTAAACTTAATACGTTTGTCCATGGGAGTGTAGGTGATATCACCTACATTATGCCAGATCTAGAAGCCATGCGTCCTGGAGTTGGAGCCCTTGGTGGGTCAGATCAAAAAAAGAAAAGTGCAGGTGTTGCAAACTTGCAGGGTTAAAGTTAAATTCCAACAGCCTGTCTCCACACCCCCCACGCAGGTGGATACAGAGTCCTGCATCCTGGTTCAGAAATCAGTCCACTTGCTAGCTTCGTCCTGCAGGAAAGTGGCTTTGGTTCAGTCTCTCGGCGTCAGCTCAGGGATGGTTGGGAACCCCAAAAGAAAGTAGACTTGAAAGCTATCTTAAGGCATTGTCCAAATCAACTTTGTGGGCTCCTCCCTGATCACATGTTTTAATAATTGATCAGACCTTGTTTCAACCAAGGATTCATATCGCAAAGCTCACCAGATTGTCGATGCAGTGAGAAAGGACTGGACTACTAAATAGTGAGCACATGACCAGCTTTTGTCAAAGAAATGTTTTCTTGGCACCTGGCTAGGAGTTTCAATTCCAAGGGCATGAAATGAAAGGTCCCGTTGCAAAGTTATTCAGTGCTGGAGCTGAAGGAAAACATCAGAATAACATTCGGCGTGATTGGTTCCGAAGAATGGCAAACATGAAGTTCGACCACCGTGTGCCTAAGCTTAAGGATTCTTGAGGTATATATTTTTGTTTAACCAAGTGTTGAAAAACAATATTTTGGGAAAAGGGGATCTTAGTCTGCCAACATATGTGTTTTGTAGGTGCCTATATCATGGGTGGATGTTCCACTTATGGAGTTTGGACCAGATGGCTGGACTCAGATTACAGAGTGACTTGGTGTGACATGTTTGTACGGGTTGGGCTTTGATCTTTCAATTTCCATGACAAAACCTGTAGAATCGACATGTATGAAACTGTCACGCTGGACTATCGCAGTGATGAGGAGCATGCCCTTCTGTCGCCCTGATCATCTTCTACCATGGCTGATAGATCGCAACATCTGGCCAGACATCTCAAACAGGAAGATCAAACGATATTGGAATCATATGAAAAATGTTGGTTCAGAAATTGGGGATGTGAGCCCGGCTGGAGACCATCATCCAATTTGGATTTGGGGTGATGCTGCCAACTATGCAAAGGATCATAACATCATTACAATCTGCATAGGAAGTGTTTTGGATGACAGAACTGATTCAATCACCAAGTGCTTCCCAATCGCTCTTTGTCGTGAAGAGCCTTGTCTTTTGGATAGCATATTTCATCCGGTTTATCCCCAAAACAAGTATCTGATCTGGTTGATATACTTTTTTGTATGCTATCCCTACTAAGCTAAGGAAAGAAGCTGTGGTTTCCCCACCCTACATGCTTTCCTTGAACCGGTGCCTTGTTATGATGAAGTCTTTTGCCATCGTACTTTGTTTCCTCGGCATGACCGAAGATAGCAGCTGTGCTGCCGTTCGGGTGAACTACCCTTGTGATGTTATGGTTGGAATACTTTGGGATACTTTAGTCGCGGGGTCAAAATGAATTGTTATGGCTTAATTAGCAACTCATCATGCCAGTATTCCTTTATGTTTCAATGGAATGGTTTTACACCGCTCCCCATGCACAAATCTAATAATAAATTTATATATGCTATCATCTTATCCATTTTGGTTCCTTCATTGCCCTAGCTTAGGTGGCACAAGCTTTTCACACCCTCTATGATGGTATCCGCGACACAGATGGCAACCTTCAAAAGTTCTCACTGGTAGAGATTCGTGGGGATTGGAAATACATGAAGGTACGGGCAGTTGCGAAAGGGGATATGACATATAGTAAATTAAAACCAACATGTTTTGGGTAATATTGCCATTGGTCAACCCTGTGCAGGAGGTGCTGAATCTTCGCAACTTCTACCAATGTAACAATATCTGTCATGAATGCAAGGCAGATAAGGATACGTACATGGTTCCCAAATTGCAAGCCCCACGTTACAATTCGGATGAATTCTGGCGTCAATGCATCAAACCTGGGCCCATTTGCTTCTTGGTTATGAAGTTATGTTTATTTGTTTTTCCAGTGTGTTTTCACCGTCAAAACCCAAAAAAGTAGCATTAGTTCAACCAGCAGGTATGAACCCTGAACATCCCTGAGCCAAAGGTCCTTTATTACAAATCCCGCACTTCAAGAGGAGTATGGTGAAGTGGTGTGCAATGCATTTAGTTCATCTTGGCTGCGACCTTTGGATTTTGGGCAATAGCCTTAGAGTCATTTTATCGACCACCGATTTTTGGGGAGATGGTTCAGAAAATGAGAGGTTGCACAAAGCCTGGCTTGATTTCAAGCAGTGGTGCAGGGAGCACAAATGGCAGACCCTTAATTTGGATTGGCCATATTGTTTCTTTCCCTGGGAAAACAGTTTTATATTGGCCCCATTGCTATCCTTTTTTTAACAATGAGAAGTACCTGAAGCCCAAGGCACTGATCTAGGAAAATTCGTATAGGGAATGGTTGCATTCCCATAGCTTAGGCATTCTATGCCACGATGGAGTGCCAAAACCCTGGTGTCGCGACAACACCCTTATCCCGAAATGCAATCCAAGGCCTGGAATGCCACTTGCCTTAATATTTCTCTGGATCTATTGGGTACCCCTTAACTAGCTAGTATAAAAAGTACTTAGCCCCTGTGGATCCAAATAATTTCTGAGAAAATATATAACCCATTTAAATAATTTGGATATATATGCCATATCGATTACTGTAAGTTCCCACCATATTTTTGGATCTGAGGCCCGTGTTTGCATCGCATGGTTGGGGGACTTCATGACCAACGTCGATGTGGAAACTTATCCCGACCTACATTTGGTGAAGATTTGTGTGCGCCCTGGCTGAAGTTGGCATCAGTCTGTAACCGTGATGCCTCTTGCTCGGAAATGCATGAGCTGTCAAGCCTTCAAACGATTGAGGCCACATCGTGGTATTCCACACGAGGGTTGATCATGAGAGCCGACAGACTCAATGTACCCCAAGTGCTCGGATTAATCGTTCAAGTATCTTAAACGACGTAAGCCGTAGCCAAGGCTGCCAAGCACCCAAAGTCCCAAAGCTCATTGAGCTTGATGTTTGGAATCATCGCAGCTTCAAGTATTGACCACAAGTTGCCCAATCTTAGTTGCCAGGGGCCCCTCGTTTCCTGAATGTTTCCTCGACGAACTCCATGGCGGTCTTCTTGACTAGGTTTCATTCACCTTGAGATCCTTCACTACCTCTGATATCCCATTTGGAATGCATCTGGGTTAAAAACATTATTTTCACACCAATCCTCACACTGGGTGCCCGTTCCAGACATGTAGTGCCATCAGCTGTTCTCTCAGCTGCAGGTGTGCCATGAGCGACTTTCACATGACCTTGGAAAACCATGGCCGGTACCTCACTGTGGAGACTACGCAACTTTTGGAAAATCAAATGGAGACCTGCCATGCCTTGGTCATTTTTTGGTTATCCACCATATGATTTTTCTGATGCATTCCCAAACAGTCAAATTAGTCAAACACTACTATTTTCCCAGCTGGCACAGCTCAGGAAACATGCATGCAGGCTTACATCAAGCTGGCAGTTGCTGCTCTTCAAGCTGGCGAACTCCTTTGGCCAAGTCGGCCAAAGTGGCACGTGACTTCGTATTATTTTCTTTGGTGGGTACCTATTTATCACATGTGATGTTGTCGGCCAATACTGGCCCAATGAATTAGATCATTTTGTTTTTTAACTTGGATTTTCGAATTACCATGTGCCAAGGGTCTCCAAGAGATGGTGCGAACCCAGACGATCGACAGATTCCATTCTGATCTTAACATTTTTTTTTGAAGATGTTGCCACTACTTTTGGGGCATGATGGTATATGGTTGAAAATATGGTCATTTTGTTGAACCCAACCTGCAAATAGCTGAGGAGTTAATTGCAGAAAATATCACTCTTTCCATACGGAAGACTGGATAGGGCGAATTAAAATGTGCTGCGCTGTGACGCACCAGCAAGGGCTGGAGCACATTGCACTCATGCGTTGGTTCACTGGGCCCCTTTACTGCATCATATATTTTGGTTTCCTATTTAAGCCCCAAGTATGGGATCTTAAATTGGCAATTTCCCCATTCATTCCTGCACTAGCTTTGCCATCCAAGGCTTACAAACAAGTCCCAAGCAGCTGAATTCGACAGCTGAGATTCCCAACGTTGGCTCCCGGAAAAGATCACCAGGGCCAGTGTCGCTGATGAGCCGGGTGGTATGTGGCCGGGTGGGATTGTATCCAACCACCATTTATTTTTTAGAAATTCCTAAAATCATCCAAAATAACACCAATTTCTGGCTCATATAGCATCAGGAACCTATAATCAGCTAAGTTTCCCAAAAAACATGAAAACCATGATTTCTTCCATTTCCCAACTTTGTCTCACAATGGACTTGGCTATGAACTTCACATGGCAATGGACCTACAGGCCAGGTACCCTCTCAGACAGGGAAGGGGATCCTAAGGGATATATATATATACACAGTAAATGGAATTCCTAACATCTTGGCCATCCAAACCCCTATTTTCACAGAAAGCCCCTGGCAATCCACAAATGTGTGGATTCTCATATGTTTTCAAACTTAAAATGCAGTTTTGGGGTATACTGTAACACTTACATCCCCATTTTTAGGTGATCTTGGATGTATCTTTTTTGAGTGGCTTGACCCTGGCTAGTAAGTCCCCTAGTTATGGGTTTGCAGCATGTTGCAGCCATATATCAAAGTAATAGTGGATTCAGATCATGCTATACCCTGATTATCACTCGGTCCAGATGCAACCCCAAACTCAGAATTGACATCTGTTCCATAGACCCAGATCTCAGATTTAGCCATATTAAACCCCAAACCACGACAGGCCAGGCGCAAAGAAGTTGGAGCCATTGGTGTTGGGCCCATCGTTGGCCATGCACAATAGCCCTGGCGTTGGACTCATAGCAATCATGTTATCGCTGTTTTGTTGTGTTCAGCCAAGTAAAGTAAGGATGTTTTTTGGTTCCTGGGAAATGTATGGACATGTATTTTAGATTGGGCGGTGGCTGAATGGCTTCCAGAAACTAAACAAACAATGGGAATTAATTAAATGATGAGATACACAGATTTAAAATGATTTAACATGATTTAACAAAATTTCACAAACACCTTGTTTTCTGGAGCAAACTTAAATACAACCAGTGTACCTGCCCAAAGACAAAACTCGAGCATGATGTTTATTATTTTCCTGTGATTCCCGATGCTCTTTCCAAAATGTTAAACTTATGTTAAACTTATTTTCCAATAAACAATGTTGTTCTTCCCGTATCATTCCGTATCGTCGCTTATTTTTGCAGGCTTCAAGTTTTTCTTTCCAACATGTTCAACTTATTTTCCAGTAAACCAATACTTTTTCCAAGTATCATGGCTTATATGTCTATACATACTCCAGCACTAACACAATGCTTAAGCGCCCTGAGGTTGCGTGCTCAAAAGTAAATTTTTTCGCCAAGATGTCCGCTTTAGGTCTGTGCCCCAATTCCTTGTGGTTCGGGAAATTCCTCGAAGAAAATTCGCCAATCAAACACTTCTTTCCCGTGGGCGATGTCTTAGCTTGAACGTAGAATCGTACAGACAGGTAGGCTTTTCACTGTCGTCACCGTCACATGCACTAAGGCCAAAGTGGTTTTGTTAGGCCGCGGACATGCTGGTCGCTTCAAAACGGGGCTTGATGCTTTAACTGTTAACCTCCTGTAACTATAAAACTGCCAAACTGAACGTCACCCATTGTATAAATGGTGCAGGCTTACACCCCATCAATGACCCCACTTGATTTTGGGCGATATGCCTTGGGCCCGGTGACTCAATGGCAGGCGATTTACAAAGGAAGGCCTCCTGGCTGCCTATCCTGCCCTGCGGTGGCTAGATCATCAATCTCCTCATTGCATCAAACTGGAGATTCCTCAAAATCCCAAAGGGGGCATGTGGGAAATTCAAAAATTGTGGTGTCATGTCATGAAATCTATTTTTCAAATCTCCAAGTCATTGGGGATTTTTCAACCTCATTGCGCGGTTTCTTTTAACCCCATTCATCCCCCGTTTCAAACTCTGCCGAAATACCTCGCCGCGCAATCTTCTCCCGGAAGTTTTCGTCTTCGAAACGCCGGGAATAAATGGACTCGCCGCCCGTCCTGGGGAACAAACGACGGAGAGAACTGAATGGTTTCATAATTAGAGGAACATAGATGGATATATGGATATAGATGGAAATATATGGATATAGATGGAAATATATGGATATAGATGGATATAGATGGATATAGATGGATGATGATGATGATGATGATGATGATGATGATGATGGTGATGACATCATAATCAGCAAAGTTCTGTTATGAAGTTGGAAAATAGTCATAGTAAGTGATGACATCATGTAAAGTATGGCCAAAGAGTCTGGGCCCTGATAGAAGGATAAGTATCTTGAACACATCTGCAAACAGAATATCACATAGCCTCCAGTAAACTAACATAGCAATCAAAAAAACATATACATATATATATATATATAATATAATCATATATATATACTGTGCCTGTGATATTATATTATGTGTAATTATATATATATTGCACACACACATAAAATATATAATGGTGATTTTCCATAGCTATGTGGGTTTGCTGGACGGTAGTATTAGAGAAAATGGGTCATCTCCGCAACAGGGTTTTCTCTGGGAAATCCCCAAACTAAATGGATGTTTTTTATTGGAACAATCATCTATACATGGTCTATAAATGGGGAATGGTCCGGCAACCCATGTATCATTACTACAAGTGGAGGTTAAGGTGTTTGGATGCAGAGCCACAATGAACAGCAGTAGAGTATTATATCAAAATGGGGTATCCGGGTACATCAAAATCGGATTGTTTGCTACATGTTTCCCATTAACTTTGCTGGACGAACCCAAAGTCAAAAAGGCACTGACATCTTTCATTGTTGTCTGGTTGGTGGCTTCAAATCATCATTAAAAAAACGGTTAGTTGAGATCATCATCACCAAAATCGCAGGGTTATAACATATAATATAAATTATATATGTATATTGTAAAAATTGTATATGTATATGTATATACATTATGCATGTGTGTATAAAATAAAATATAATATAGTTTAATATGATATAATAAAAACATATAATATAATATTACATGATATGATATGATAACATAAAATGAAATAAATTATAATATAATATAATATAATATTATATTATATAATATTATATTATATTATATAGTATAATATAATATAGTATAATATAATATAAAATAATAATTATAATATAAAAAATAAACAACAATAAAATGTATATATATATATAATATATATATATGATATATATAAATATATACATGAAATATACTGATATATATATATATATATATGTATATATCACATATATATATGATATATATATATATGTGATATATACATATATATCATGTATATATAATGATATATATATATATATACAATATATATATATATACATAATATATATATATACACATAATATATATATATATATCTATGTATACGGTAACTACATTTAAATATACGGATATTTAAATATACGAACAGGTATTTTAGACTACCTTCGGGAACGTTTTCCTTGGCCCGCCCAGCCATTTAAACATACGGAACCCAATTCATTTAAACATACTGCAACTACATTTAAATATACGAACTGGTATTTCATACTACCTCCGGGGCCTGGCGGTCTGGCCCGCTCTCCACATATTTAAATGTCGTTACCGTATATTTGAAGCCACAGAGCAAATTCATTGGTTCCTATGTCCATCCGCGCTTTGGTCATTAAACCTCTGTTACACGACGCTTCAGTCCTCGTATTTGGGGATGGTGATGGTTTATCATGGCCGTTTGGGGGGATGGCCCACCAAAAATTCAGACACACCCATGTTATCACCCGGCCTGGTACATACACGTTCACATAACGAACTGGAAAATCACCATGCTATTCATGGGTAAATCCACTATTTCTATGGCCATTAATCCATCATAACAGGGTATATCTCCTCTGAGTTTGATCAGTCCCATGTCATGACCGAAAAACACACCCAGTCCCGTTGGCATTCTCGAAATCACCGCCCTGGCAGCCAGTGCTGTGTTCGTGGCCAACACAACGCGACGTTTCAGGTATAGCTTGACCCTCAAAATACACGTAAAACAAAGGATCAGAATGACCATGTTAAGGTCCAAGTAATGTAAATAATATATGATATCATCATTATGGTTTGGTTTGCGGAAAGTATACCCCAACAGAAGCACCCATAGAGTGCCATAGAAGTGAGTTTCTGATGGAAAAGGATAGATTTTCCCTTGCAGTTGCTGGCATGTTGACCTGGCTGGCAATTGAAAGTCTGCCTTGTGGTTCTCCATTGCCATGTTTCGTTGCCAAAGACCAAAACAAGTGCCAACGTTGGGCGTTGACGCTTAAATCTTGGTTTAACGATCACTTGTTCCTGGTAAATGTCCAGTTGTTTCATGGTCAAATGTTATTTCTGTCAAGATAAAACTTATTCTTTTCATGGTCATGGTCATTGTCCCCCTGTTTCATGGATATTCATGGTGCAAATCCCAAAAAATTCACAATACACATCCATGGATCGTCATGGATTTTCATGGTAAATGTTCCGTTTTGATCCCACGAGAAACACCAAAAAAACCCACCCCAGGTGACTGCGCCCGGCGCGTTTGCCTGGATCATTAGTCCGGGGATCATCCGATGCCTGGGGAATTCGGTGTTTGACAACTCGCGGATGATAATCCAAATACTGGTTGGTGGTTGACCTACCCCTCTAAAAAATATTAGTCAGTTGGGATCATTATTCCCAACTGAATGAAAAAACAATGAAAAACACACCACCAACCAGAATATCATACACTTATGGAATCAATTGTTGAATTATATAGCAATCCAGATATCATGATCTCAGAATTATATGTAATTGATAATTAGGGTGGTTATTTTGATTTAAACCATAAATATGCAGAACTCTAGACACCGAAATTGTTTTCCTGTCTTTATCAATGCTGGTGAGTTTTTTGTTAAGCGCTCGCATTGTGTTTTTAAGTGATTCAGAGTCAGGATTTTGACTCGCAGATTGTGTCTAAGTGGTTCAGATTTCTAAGTGCACGCACAAAAAAGACAGTAATCAAACGCGCCCCATTAATTTCTCACCTCTTCGTTTCTGCCCTTCCAATCTTGATAGTCTTACTCCTAGCTAATAAGCATCCCCATCATCATACTTCTCTGTCCCACCAATTCATCTAAAATCAAGCACTGAGTACCAAGCACTTGACAGCAAACTGAACCACAGAGAGGGGGGTTTGGCATATCATTTACCATATTTTACTTGCCTAATTGCTCAATCGGGCGACCCCTCATGACCCTCTATTCATGGTCAATCTTTGGTAGTCCACAAATCTCCTGCTGGCTATGGCGGCTATGGTATGCTATGTTCCATTTCTGGCAAACAAATAAGGGATTAAACTACCTAAAAGCACCAGTGTTACCAGGGTTGGGGATGTATTTATCAACCAACTCGTGGGGAAAGGACATCATTTAAATAAGGTTGACAGGTGCTTCACCATGTCTTCGACCAGCAAACAGGCTCCCCGACAGCAGGCTGCCTTTGTAGTGGAAACGCTTGCCTCTGGCCGTCAAACCTGCCAGGTGGTAGGTTTAAAATGTGGCATCTCTGGAGTTGTAGATGCAAGTTTGTAAGTCTTACAATATGAGGTTACAATGTATTACCATGTATTACAAGTGACAGGTTTGCAATGCCCTGTTTTCGTTTGTGTTTTGGTCATGCGATGGCGACGGCATCATTAGCTTCATCTACTGGGTTAGCATAGCCATCATCAAACTCTTCACGCAGGAAAACCATGTGCATAGATATTGAACTTTTGTAGCACGATCAACAGAAGGCAGTCATGTCGAAAGTTTGAGCCGAAACTAAGTTCATCAAAGTCCTTGGGAATATGGAAAGACATCTTTGCACACTTCTCATCTGTCCATCTGAGGAAAGGAAGGAAGATGAAGGCCAGAGAGGAAAAGGACAGGGGAAGAAAAGGAAAGAGGGCATGAACAGGATGGTAACCAGTCTTATGATTCTGAACTCAAAAAGCTCACAGTAAATCTACCGCCAATCTAGCGCTGCCTTGTAGATTTGCATGAGTCTGGTGGGGGCCTGCCACTAAACAATGTAAACAATCGCTGAAAATCTACGTGACAAGAAAACAAGACTCCAGTAGGGCCGCGTACATCATCTTGAGATGGTTCCATTGGGGATGCACAAATGGGTTTGTCCGAAAATAGAGTGCCCCAAATCCACTTAATCATCAATGTTCCCATTAAATGTCCCATAAAATTTGGGTATAAACCCAATTTTCAGATAGAATTACACAATTTTCAAGATGATGGAATTTATCCCGGTTCATATACCCATTATATTATCATTATATGGAGGTTTCCTAAAATAGGGGTACCCCAAATGGATTTACAATGGAAAATCCATCCATATCATAAATGCATGATTTGGGGCGTACCCCTATTTTAGGAAACTTCTATATATAGACTTATATATAGACTAATATGAAACATATAACTATACATTCATATACCCATTATCATGATATCCTGATTGAACGGATCATTTTCTCCTTGGTTCCCCAGTCCGACCTTCGTGTTCTCCGCTGCACAGCTGACGAAAGTTCTCCGCGGTCGTGGGCGCCTCAAAATCACCCAAGAGATATCTACTGTGACCAAATTTTAACCACTAAAAGATGTAGTGATTATAGTGGTTTCACCAACACATATAGTGGTTTATATCATGCATTTTTTGGATTTAATGGGATTTAACCAACAAATAATAAATCAATAATGGTGATTTAACGTGATTTCACCATATTTAGCCAACAAAAATGGTGATTTGTAGGCATTTCCAATGTGATAATGGAATACCAATGGGATCATAATGGGTATATGGAGGCTTCCTAAGTCATATATATATATATATTACATTAGTTAACAAGATCAACCTAGCCAACGAACAGGGGCACCACGTTTAGGGTTCATTCACTTGTTGTTTCCAACTGGATGTGTATAGCGTAGGGTTTAATGATGCTAGAATGTTTTGAAATCAAGAAATCCCCAAAATGCAGACTTGGAACAAACATGTTGGATCCTCCAAACTCCAAATTCGCGCACTCATCGCCCACGCTGTCACGTGATGTCACGTGATGTCACGTGATGTCACGTGTCAATATGAATAAATTTGTTTCAGTTGAGGTGGATCTATAGTAACGTGATCAAATGTTTCGGTATCCTGGCTGCCAAATTATGGAAACCTCTTATGATTGGTAGAGCATCTGCGCCTGTGAGCCCGAAACCGAAACTCTCCACACAATTTCTGTGCAATTCATCTCGGCATCGCTAGTACAGAGCAGGAGAAACTGTGAAACCAAATAGTCCCACTTGAGCAGTGTATATCCACCTCGAACAAATGTGGTGGAACAGCTATCAAGAATCAACCCAGTTTTGCTGAATTTATCGCATTCTAGCGGCTTAGTACCTCTGTCGCTTGGTCCCCTCTATGGATTGTCAATATCATGCCTACGCTGCTTAAATCCGCTTGAGGGGCTCAAAAGAAGAGCTATATACAGTGTGTATATATATATACTAAACAGTATACATATATATATACATACATACATAACATAAAATAACATTACATTACACTACATCACATTACATTAC